TAAATTCATTTGGAAAAATAAGAGACCCGGAATAGTCAAAGCAATTCTTGGCAAGAAGAATGAAGCAGGAGGCATCACAGCCAGACCTTAAATTACGCTACAGAGGTATAATAACAAAAATGGCATGGTATTATCACCAAAACAGACATGCAGACCAAAGGTACATAATAGAAGACACAGAGACAAACCCACATAAATACAATTATCTCATACTAGAAAAAGATGCTAAAAATATACATTGAAGAAAAGATAGCCTCTTCAACAAATGGTGCTGGGAGAATTGGAAATCCATATGTAGCAAAATGAAATTAAATCCCTATCTCTCACCCCAACTCAAAGTGGATCAAGGTCTTAAACATTAGACCAGAGACCCTGTGCATAATAGAAGAAAAGGTAGGCCTAACTCTCCATCTTGTATGCTTAGGAATCGATTTCCTCAACAAGACTCCTACAGCACAAGAAATAAAATCAAGAATCAATAAATGAGATAGTATCAAATTAACAATTTGTAGAACAAATAAAAAAATAAAAAAGTCTTATATCTTATTCAAATTTGACTACTATATTGAAATCTATAATCTACTAAAACTCAATTATAGAATACATTTTCTATATAGGTGCCCTCTGTACACACACACACAAATAAACTAAGTCTTAAGAGAGAATAACAATATCTAGTGCTACTTTTTGTAAGGCTTTCAAAGTATGCATTATGAAAATTGATTCTAGACATTTTAATAGCTCTCCTACTTTAATTTTTAAGTCAGATATATTTTATAGCCTCACAACCAAACCAAGATCGCCAGAAATAAATCTCAAAGAGGAATTAAGTTTCACCAAAGTCAGAATTGGTATCTAGGGAATCTGATTCTGGTCACAAACTATACGGTTAACATCTTCCTTGAACATAGGAAATAGTAATATGGACACTTTAAGTAAACAGATAAATTTTTGTACTTATGCATGGCATTCCACCATTTCATCACATTTTTCTTTATTAACATTAGCTAGGATACAGTACAAATCATTAAGCATTGTAAATAAAATTATAATCATTTAGTTCTCAAAAGATTTGAGATATTTACATGTCACCTGGGAGCTTAGTCTCATTCCAAATGCAATTATTTCTTCTGCATGTTTTGAGGTAAATCAATGCAATTAAGTTTTCTGACAGAGCTTCTTTCTTAGTGGAAAAACACATTTTAATTATACGTAGAGAAAATAAAAATATTCAGTATTTCTATAATTAAAATTGGAAGAAAACTTTTTTCATTCAGTTTTCCATCAAAAGTTCCAACATGCTTAAGTATATATCTCAATCCATTCATTTTCATTATTTATAACTAGAAATGGAGTAGTTGTTGGTTTTAGAGTTTGGCAATAGGAGATAAATGTCAGAGTATTTGCCCATCCCTCATTCAACTTATCCAGGGTCCAGGTGTGGAGAGTATTTGGCAGGTGGGCAGCATTGAGTTCTTCCTAGATCTTTCAGCATCACGGCTCCATTCACAATGTATCTAGTAAGCAGACTTAAAACCTGAGTTCATCAAAAAGAAATGTAGCTCCACTGATATTTCCTCTACTTTGATAGATTTTCCATTTTTTTTCCTTTCTCTTTCTCTTTTTTATCCCCACCTCTATTTTGTATTAGGGGATATCAGAAAAAACATTCAGGGTCTGGGGCTGTGGTTCAGAGGTAGAGCGCTCACCTACCATGCATGAGGCACTGGGTTCGATCCTCAGCACCACATAAAAAAATAAAATGAAGATATTGTGTCCACCTATAGCTAAAAAAAATAAATATTAAAAGAAAAGAAAAAAAAAAAAACATCCAACCTTTGACTATTAGGGACTGGCTTATTTTACTTAGCATGACACTCTCCAGTTCCATCCATTTACCAGCAAGTGTCATAATGTCACTCTTCTTCATGGCTGAGGAATTCTCCATTGTTATGAAGGAGATTGAGGAGGAGGAAGGAGGGACCAGATCAGGGAAGAACAGTGGTATAAATCTGACTGAACTTTCATATGTACATAATATGAACACGGCCACCATGAAAAAGACACTACTTAAATTTATATATATGTATAAATTAAATATATATATATATATATATATATATATATATATTTCAGAAAGGTCAGTAGAGAGGGGAGCAGGGGGAAGCAGAAGTGAGGAAGAAGTGCTGGGGTCTAAATTAGAGCAAATTATATTCCATGCTTTTGTGAATATGTCGAAATGTATCCTAATGTTATATGTAACTAAAAATATTCAATGAAAATTAAAAGAAGAAGTAGCAGCATCAGCATCATCATTAGCAGCAAAAGCAGCTTCTATTATGGGAGAAAGTTGGTGGAACACCCAGATTGGCTTTTTAGGAAAAATAAACAACCGAAATTAATTTTGGCATTCCTTACAGCTCCCCACTTGGTCACCGTGGATTTAAAACCTATATAAACCTGCTGTTCTCCTATTTCTCAAGGCACGAACACATGGGTGCCTAGCAAACTTGACCCTGGCCCCGCACTGCTCTATGTGAAACAGCTGAAAAACTTGAGTGAGTTCTTAAATCCAGCCTTATTTTCACTATCAATGGAAATGTTAACAGAGTGTATTAATTGATTTTCAAGATCCTATTCATCTTCAAAATTCAAAAAATTCTATTTTTGAATTTCCAAGACTGATAGAGGATATACTTTCCCCTGGAGACTGAGTGGATATACCCAAGAGAAAACTACAATTTCCTTGTAGGAAGCTGGAGAAGGTACAAAATTGGAGCCTGACAATTCTCTAAGTGACCTTGTAGCAACAATGTTTGCTGCCAAATTTCTGCAACATACTGCTTATGTATGTTTGTTTGTCTGGCAAAATAGCCCCGGTGAATAATAGTCTAATGAATTACAATGAAAGCTGAACCTTATAAATTTGCCCAAAGAGTCTCCATCAAACAACTAACTTGTAAATGTCCCACCTTCACCCTAATTATACCCACAAAGGTACTGGGATGTCTTCTAAAATGTTCCTATCCCCAGGAACTGAGGCCCCAAAGACTGGAATCTTCACAGCCCCAGGACAACTTTTTGATGGGACTGAATCCAAGCACCATTTGTGTAAAACTCCCCATAGGATCTCACTCCCTGTCACCTAACTCTGCATTATATGCCCCTGCCTCCAAAGACCCTGTGCCCTTCTACTTCTTCATCTAGTGCCTCAGTTTCCCACCACCATCATCAAAATTCACTTTGACCACCAGGGCAGATGGTACCAATGGTGGTGATCACATCGTTTGTGGGATAGAGAAGGAACTGGAACACAAGGGGTAGAGAGGTTCCATCCCTCAGGAAGTAAGGCCAGGACCTCTAAGCCTATGGAAAAGCATAAAAAAGAAACAAAATAAAGGAAGTGACTAAATGGAGGGCAGAGGTCCATTAGAGAAAGGACAAATTTTAAAAAAAGAGTCAAGGTTTTGAGTTCTGTCTGCTGACTCTTGGGCAAAATGGGTTCTGCACATCCTCTTGAACATTCAGGTTACTGTGACAAGATGGATCTTAACATTCTGGACAGACGATGTTTTAAAATGTCATCACATCGTCTTAGCATAAAATGAATTACTGCCACCTTAGGAAAAATAATAGGTCCATCCTGCTATGGAAAGACAGCCTGCTGGTAACATCTGCAACTGTATTAGCCTGCAGCACAGAAAGGAATTTGAAATGGGTCACCTGTGTCAAGTGTCTGATGGGTCCACACTCTGTCTCATAGTTAGTCTATGAGGAGCCCCTCCACAGGATGATGTGACTCACAGGTGATTCCTAGTCTCAAGCACCACCAAGTTTTGCCCAATGTCGTCTGCCTTTTCCCCAAAATTGCCACAATCATGGTTCACTCTTTTAAGTACCAGACTATGTGTCATGATGCTCACAATGGGATAGAAAAATAGCACACAAGTGAGCATTTGAAAAAAAAAGTCTCTACCCCTAACAGGTGATAAGCACTCTTCTCACTGGGACCCCAGAATGACAATAAACGTACATGGGGGGCTGGGCATGGCTCAAGTGATAGTGCACTCGCCTGGCATGTGCGGGGTGCTGGGTTTGATCCTCAACACCACATAAAAAAAATATAAAATTTTTAAAAATATATAACATTTTTTTAAAATTCTTTAAAAAAAAAAAAGAGGTACATGGGAGGTAGACAGCTGAACTGTGCCCCAATTATAAAGACATCTCTCTATAGGAAAACAAAAGTCACTCAGCAACAATTAATATATTTTATTTCATCCTATCACTTTCCCTAATCTACCTTTGAAATTATAATAGAAATCATTGGGGAAAATGTGATTCAATTTACTAAGCACTCAATTTATAGACAACTTCTTTCAAATCAAAAATAAAATTTATTTTAACTTCACATGAGCTCGCTTGCAAAGGTCCATACTTTAAAATTTACTAAACAAAAATGTGCTATATTTGAGTAATAAGGTATTTAAAATTACACAAATCATCTCTACCCAAGACTTTTCCTCTCTTAAGCAAAGCGACAGCCTGTCTATATTAGTCACAGTTGTACAGAAAAAAAAAAAATCTGCAGTTTGTTACATTCTATGGTGAATTTGTTATAGGAACAAAATGTCATACATATACTGATACAACAAAGTACAACCTTAAGAGAACTGAGTTATTTTCCACGCACATAACTCTATAAAACAGGAATTGTGCACATCCTGTGGGATTAAAGCAAAATGGACATTCTCAGATAGAACACCACTTAGCTCTCCCTCAGTATTCTTGTATTAATAGCAGAGTTTCAGCCAAACATAATTCTCCATGTTCACAACAGACCTGCACTCATTTACCCAACCTTTCTCCTCCCTTAGCATGATGGCTCTCTGACAAAATATTCCTAAGGTCTAATGCATGCAGATAAATTATTCAAGTGAGAACTCCATCTTCCAAGGGACTTCACTGTTGGCATTCCATTTTCACTCCACATCACTCACCGGTGCCATCATCCACATTCTCCACCTCCATCACTTCGGTATTGATCCGGCCCCGAAATAGGTACCGGTGTCCATCTGTGGATGCCTTGCTGTTCTTCAAGCGTCTTTAAATGAATGAAACCACAAAAACTTTGTTACTAAACCTCATGCAGAACAATGTTAAAACATCACACTTTCTTGAGTCTTTAGAGAGAAAGAAAGAGAGAGAGAGAGAGAGAGAGAGAGAGAGAGAGAGAGAGAGATCAATTAAATCAACATTACAACAGTTTTTTGGCACTTGGTGATCAGACTTATATCCTAGTTGCTTTACAAGATGTGACTGATGTACTAATTTCTTTAAATAAATTTCTTTAAATAATAAAGTTGGGGCTAAAGATCATACACAGGTGGGAGAGCTGAGCATATGCTTTTGCTCAGTATATGACATCTGTCTTGCCCAATGAAACTGTGACACACACTAAAGGTTGAATATTTTGATGCTGCAATTCGGTTAGTTTTACCTTCATTTCTCATTGCTCAGTAGCTGGTAATTCCCATTTTTATAATTTTCTGTTAAACAAATTCAGTGAGTACTTCCCTCTTCAAAAAAACTGACTATGCTAGAAGTTCTTAAGCTGAGTGACATTCAGCTGTTAAGAAAAAAAAATCTCCTATACTCATTTTATGATATGATTACTGTAGGCTTGTTGAACAAGTCTCTTAGTGCATTTATAATCCTAACCAATGGTCATATTTATTTTAAAAATAACTCAAAACATTTTTTAAAAATCTGTGTATGGTATGTATAGTACCAACCTTTCATCACAAGGAGTATCTAACACAATAAAACACCAAGGTTTACAGATGAACTTTAACAATGAACTAGGTAGTTGTATATGAGAATTCTAAACACTTTTAAGTGTTTTTAAACAACAAAACATTTTTTTTTTCTAATTAAACAGAAAAGAGTTTGAGAAATGATTCAAGGAGGTTTAAAAAATACCTAGTCACTCAAGAGACTTCAGTGACCCAGACTCTTCAGTTTGACTCACTGACAAAAGTCTGGCCACCAGCTGAATAGACACAAACAATGCCTGATTTACTGTGCCATATAGACACACCTAGAACAAGATGTACCTTTCCACTACCTGTAGCATCTCGTCTGACTATGCCTGCCCTGAAGTGAATGGATGTACACAGGAGGTGCCTCAAGATACTGTCATACCACCCCCCGCCACACACATAGGGCTCCTTCCTTGAAAAAGTCGGTATAAACCTGGTCTATCTATCCTAAACCCTCATCAGACTTACTAATCCTAAATTGATAATTAATCTCACTGGAGAGCCTGTCATCCTCAAACTTTCATCACCCTGAATTCCCCATTTCATGTTGACAGCAAACTCCAAGTGTCTTAGTTACTAAGCCTAAATAAATCCTTAAATCAGGAATTCAGGCCAGGTAACTATGAAAATTGGCATCACTGAAGGTCAGATTATCCATTCATTAAGGATGCTTACTAAATAGCAGGAATTTAACTTTGTAAAGCTTTTTCTGTTAACTTATTTAACAATTATAGCCATAACAGAACATCAGTTGGTACACTGATGTTAATTTTGCCAAAGCTGTGGATTTGATGTCAGGTAGACAGACAGACAGACAATAATATCAATACCAATAATATCAACTGTCATGAAAAAAGATCTCATTCTCAAACAGATGCCTTTAATTATTCCACCAAAACACCTTCATTCCATTAAACATTTTGTGTGTGTGTAGTACTGGGGAATCAAACCCAAGGATGCTTTACCACTAAGATACACCCCAGCCCTTTTTATTTTTTGAGACAGGGCCTTACTAAATAGCTGAGACTAGCCTAGAACTTGTGATTTTCCTGCTTCTACCTCCTGACTCCCTGGGATTACAGGCATGTGCCATTGTACATGGTCACATATAATTTTTTGATGAGTTGTACAATGGGTAAAATTTCCTAAAGCTTACTTCTATTAACCTCTTCTTAGCCCCTATGCTAATAAACCCAAGAATTTAGAAAGGAACAATAAAAGATATAAGTAGGTTCATTTTCACGTCGTCAAAAGAAATTTTGAGCTGGACACCATGGCACAGGCCTGTGGTCCCTGCTCTTCTGAAAACTAGGATAGGAGGATATCTTGAGCCCAGGAGTTCAAGACCAATCTGAGCAACACAGCAAGATCCCATCTCAACAAAGAGGGACGGTGGGAGGGCAGAATTTTTTTTTAACTTCATTAAGGTAGAGATGATGAAAATTTAACTCTCAATTCATGACCTGTTCCCTTTCATAAAGGTACATGCTACAGTTCTGTGTTTTCTTGCTTCATGTCATTGCATTTTTTAAAACTACTATCTCTTGCTAGAGAATTCTAATACTATAATCCACATGGCTTAATTGCCATATATCATCAACTTAGCTTTCAAATTTTCATTAATTTCCTCTGGGCATCTTGCTAACAGACTTAGGAAAACTCATTTCAAGAGATAAAAGATTGAAGCTCCCTTAATTCTGCCTAGTAAATCAGTTTTGTGTCTCTCATTCTCACTCTACCATAAAATGGTTGGTTAGTTTTCTCACTTCTGAACTTCACATATCCAATCACTCAAATTCCTGACCTTCCAAACTTCTGCTGTGCCTATCCACTGAATGAAGCCTACTGGTACCCTCTCCCTGAAACCAGTGTCCCAGCTACAGTTGGCATTTTGAGAAGTACTCCACCAAGTTAAATGCTGCTAAGAAAACAAGTAAAACCTTCAAGAGTAGAAAAGTGACCACTGGATTAGGAAACATGGTGGATCCTCACACATGAGCAGGTTATCGGACTAAAGTCTCATTGAATGTTGTAAAGGGGGAAACAATAAGTAAGGGATTAGAAAAATGACAACCTAAAACTCTTCCCAGAAAGGTAGCTATGAAAGAGAGCAGAGAGATAGGAGAGAGTGGGACATAAGAGATATCTCTTTTTTTAAAGAGAAGAGATAATAAGCAATATTTGAAGTCAAAGTAATAGGCTCAAGGATCAGAGAGTAGCTTCCATGGGAACATTAGAGGAGAAGTAACAGGACAGGGAATGGTGTTCAGAGTGGGATGCTTACAATGAAGATTTTCAATTTCAAGGTAATTGACAAGGTAAAGGGACAGTCACAGGACAGGAGGCTCAAGTGTAATGGAGGAAAAGGATCATTGCAGGTAAAGATACTGCAGACTTTTAGGTCCCAAATTATGGACAGATCTCTATATGGATTTTGAACACTCCCAAAATCAAGACAGGAGTAGGGTGGAAAGATAGTACCTAAGAGATAAAGCAATCAGTGAATTGTGTATAACAGGGAGATGTTAAGAGAGTCACCAGAAAAGTCAGTACGGAAGAAAGACATGAACTTCACATTTGCTGAGATTCTTGAGGGAAGTGGGGTGGGTGTGGATATGGTTAAAAAGCAGGATTGGGAAAGGGGGAAGACACACGGGCCTCGCCCGCAGGCCCTGAGGTATACAGGTGAGGAACCAACACTGTTGAGAGCCACAGCCAAAGGGGCCCCAGCAAACTTCCAGCTGCCAGCAAACTTCCAGCTGCCGGCTGATGATTGGCTCACAGCGGCCCCAGCAACATCTAGCTGATTGGCTCCTCTGTGGTGATGCTCATTGG